CAAGTACCGCCCCGAAGATGGGGCTTCTTTTGAGGACGGAGGCAAGTGGTAGCTTTGTGTATGATCTCCCCCCTCCCAGCCAATGGCCTCATCCGGCCGGCAGGTAACATCCGTTTTAACTTTTGGGAGTCGTCCCCCGGAGAGTGATCCCCGCCAGAGTCCAGTCCTCATTACTGTCGTGATGGTTAAAATCCCTGACCTACAACGTCGCACTCGAGCTTTGAGTTTGTGCGAGATAACTGTGCTTCACCAACATTTATATCGTTCATCCTTGCGGGGGGGAGGGGGAGTACGTCCGTGGCTAGGTAGGGTTTGTGCCGCCTGGTCCACGATGTTCCCCCGGCGTGGTGACGCCGTTTGTACTTCGCGACGGTGAGCTGCGCCACCTGGCTGCGTGGGCGGAGCGCGTGATAACACGCAGGCAAATCGATGTGTCTGTTGATGGAGTTGGTGTCCGACACCCCCCCCCGCAAGGATGAACGATATAAATGTCCACAATTTGCTGCACTCGAGTAGCCTCTGATGATGAACTCTAGTTCAAGTTCGAAAGCTCAGGCAAATAAACTTACTGTCCCAGTGATCGTGCCTTCGCCTTCTTTTAAACAAGAACCTGGGATGCGCATATTCTCTTCCATTCGTGAAACTTCATCATCGCTGTGAGAACGCTGTCTGCCAGCACCTTGGTCAGATTCCGAGAGCACTGTGTGTGTGTGCTGCCACAATCTATGAACCACTCGCGAGGCAATTTGACGGAATAGGTAGTTGCCGCACTTCACTCACCCTGTCCTCCGAGGTCCACATAGTCAGTCCCGACTGTTTTAACCAGCTTACTTGGGAAGGCTACTGTCACGGGTCGGATGACGACTGACTGCGTCCTGCCTAACTTGACGATACATCGCTCGGAAGTCTGAGACTGACCGGGAGCATTTTTGATACCTGCCAGAACAGTGACAATCGAGGCCGCGTTGTTGGCGCTCCGTCGGTTGACCCAGTGCATTGGTGTTTGAGGGCTACATGGGTTCTACCAGTGCACTCAGGGGGGAGAATAATTATTCTTCGCATCCGGGCTTGAGATGACAGCCCCCTAAGTGTAGCTGGTAAATCCACGCCCACTGAGCCGATTCGGGGT